GTCGGATGGAATCAATACATGGACTGCACTGGTTGTCATGTCCGACTATCACAAGTAGACTCATAATGAAAAATACGCCGGTAAAATGTGGGGGGGATATTTAACAGCTGCTTGTGTGACAGTCGAACGGGAGAATAAACTTCAGTGGACGAGCAGGACTGCAGCGGTCGGTAAATGCCGCTGAAACACATTAATAAACAATGAACCACGGCACCCTGGAGAAAAAAGTATAAGTTTGGAGAAGTCGTTATTTTATTTAATCTGACTTTGTGTGATTAAAAGCAACACGATCATCGACCCGACGCAGTCCCCCGTTGTTGTTGTTGTGAGCGCCGTTGGGGAGCAAATCAGCGATGTAAACGGTGACGTCATGACGCAGTAGCGGCTGCACCACCACACCAGTCGGGCTCTGGGCGGTGTGAACAGAGCGGGAGCAGAAAAGGGAAACCGGAGCTGAACCAGAAAAGCTCTAGCTCGGAGCTAGAAAGGGAAAAGCGCTGGTGTGAAAGCCGCATAAATTACATTCCTCTGCCCCCCCCCCACAGAGACGGCCCAGCTGCTGGTGATCGTGTCTGACGGCCGGGGGCTGTTCCTGGAGGGGAAGGAGCGGGTGATGGCGGCGGTGCGGGCGGCTCGCAGCGCGAACGTGTTCATCATCTTCGTGGTGCTCGACAACCCCAACTCAAGGGTAAGTGAAGAGGAATTTGACCTTTGATTTATTTTCTAAATGTCCAGACACTAACTGTGTAAACGCTGGTGCTGCAGGACTCCATCCTGGACATCAAGGTGCCCATCTTCGGAGGGCCGGGGGAGCTGCCGGAGATCCGCTCCTACATGGAGGAGTTCCCTTTCCCCTTCTACGTCATCCTGCGAGACGTCAACGCTCTGCCGGAGACCCTCAGCGACGCGCTCAGACAGTGGTTCGAACTGGTCACCGCAGCCGAGCAGTAGACCAATGACAAGCCATCTTTCACAGGACAGGAAGCAACTGCACAACAAAAAACGACTGACTAAAAAAAAAAATGACGTGCCACTGTACATGTGCCTTTATTTTCTTATTTTTACTGTAGATTTGAGAAGAGTTTGATAGCAACCTTTACTGTCGTGTCTTTGTGATCAGGGCCATTTCTTTGTTATGTAATGAGGATTGCTTTAACTTGCACGTCTGAGATAAAAATGTGATTCCCGTTGGTGTGAAACACTTCAGTGAAGAGTCAGTTAATACCGCCGTCTCCCTTGTACTATAGACCTGGACTCATCTGTCTGTGTGGATGTTCTAGTCAGTGTTATGAAGGTCATCTCATCATCATCATCTTCAGTGTGAGCAGCAACAGATGGAGAGCTGCTGATTCCTAACTATGTAGCATGTTGGTCAGGAACTGCATTCAAAGGAAATGTGCCTTGTAGAGAGGAACGGCATAGCATCTTACTAAACGTCTGAATCAGCTGTCGGGTGATGGATCAGAGGTGCAGCCCGGTCAGGATTTTAATAAATGAATCTGTCTACGCTTTGAAGCACCAGGGCTGCAATGAATGCCCGGTTTAAAGACTCATATCTGTTGAGCTTCCATCCATACTCTGACTCGTGAGGCTCATCACTAGTAGGTGTTGATGAAATGTGCATAGAAATGTTAATTATCCCCTCTGTGCGTCGTACATGAACTGACATGTAAGGACACATTGGTCGTCTTCAATCACATCTGTTCTACAATGACAATAAAGCATTTACCAGGTTGCTCTGTCTGACTGTGTGTCCACCTTCTGTTTAGGAATACTCAGATCATCACTAACTGTAAAGGATTCATTTCAAAGATATTCAGCAACAATTCATATTTTCCTCTCCGAGAAAACATTCTCTTTTCAATATGGAGGCACAGATTCTATTTTTCTGCATTAAATTGAGATAAAATCAGTGGTGGAGAAGGAACTAAGTGCATTTACTGAAGTATTGTACTGAACATATTTGTACTTGAGTATTTCCATTTAACACTTCATACTTCTATACGTTCCAGAGGTGAATATCATACCTTTTACTTCACTAAATTTATTTGAACACTCAAAGTTACTGGTTACTGTGTACATGTAAAACACATGCTGATATGGTGTAATGCACTATTTTGCGACTAATCTACAGAGTATCTCATTTTGTCCAAGTTGACAAACCACTATACTAAAATACTCTCAGGATAAAATAATAACCACAATAACATAATATTGTGAAAAGATCTATTCTGCATAAGCATACTTAAAGTATGTTATATATTTTGATGCCAATACTCTTACACTTTAAATATAATTTTGAAATCAGAACTTTTACTTGTAATGGAGTTTTTTAAGGCCATAGTAGACCATAAGTACGATAATTTGTACTTTTACTCAAGAAATTGATCTGAGACTTAATATCATAAAAAAGGTGATCCTTGATGGAGCATATGTGTGGGCTGGACCTGTATTTTACAGGAAAGGAGTGAGCAGTAGTGATGTGTCGGTCGCGAACGAGCCGATTCTTTTGAACGGCTCTTTGATATGAACGAGGGGAACCGAGTCGTACTTGGTGAGAGCCGTTCTTGTTATCGTTCAATCGTTTGTCCGCACTCACTGCCTGCCAAAATCCACTAGCCTTTTAAAAAGCTTGATTTTGTTCCCCAAAACGTATTCTGTGAAGACCCGCCCCTACTCTGACTGTATCTATCTTCGACACGGAAACCCTGTCTGCTCCTCACAGCAGCTCCTCGCGAGCAGTTGCACGTCGCTTGACCAATCAGAGCACACT